GGCCCCCCCGTATGTGTATATGTATATCTCTGTTTAATTAGGCCTTTATTTTTTTAGCACACTAATAAAGTTTATTGGACGGCCCAATTAGTAGCTAGCTGGAGCGATACATCCCATGCATCGTAAAAAAAAAAGGAGGAACTTGAGCGAGCCATCGTGCGCACATTACGCCGCCTTTCGCCTCGTGACCAAACTGCGGCAGATGAATAAGGAAGGAAGCCCGGATCGCAAGGGATCGATGCGGCTGGCTGCGGAGCTCGGCGGCGGACTGGTGCTACGTTCGTCTACGGAGGCGTGAGTGTTTCAGGTAAGTCAGCGCCTTCCACTGTTTCGGCGGTTTAGTTGTGATATAATTGTGGTGCAGATCTCAAACAGATCATGACGAGAGCAAGGCTCTGGATGGTGATCCCTCCCGTGAATCTAGTTGGAATATGGATTGGCTCATCTATCTTAATTTCTATTTGGAGTAACACATGCCATGAACTGAAAATTTTGCATCCCTACTCTGCATTTTCGATGCAAACTTCTTTCAGGACCATTCATGGAGTCACATGTCTCTCTGAACTTTTTTTTCCAAAAAGGAGACAAGAGCTTTGCCTCATCATATTAATTAAGAAGAGTTTTTACATATAATACTTGACCACAAGGCTGGTGCTACAATGAACTGCTCTAGTGGCATCAAAGAACCTAAGCGTTTGGCCCCTGCCTTTTCCCACAAAAGAGCCTCTGTTTTCACCTGCAAAAAAAAAAGAGAGCCTTTCTTTTGATCTTACCAAACATGGTGTCCGGCACGGATGAATAAATTTCTAAAAATCTGGGCATTTCGCTCACACCAAATCTCCCACGATGTAAGCATGAAAAAGGAAGTAAGTTCCTTACAGACGTCGTCGTTGACATTTATCACGGAGTGCCACCAATTCTTTACCGCGTTGAAGTTGTTCCAACCTTCTGAGACCTCATACATATAATGTAGTCCTATAGTTATCGTACAAGGCTCACATTAAACATGGATATGCATTTACAAAAATAACTTGATAGGAACAGAGACCATTGTCTACTTCCTTCATAAGCCATCACTTTGTTTTCTATATTAAGGGCCCCAGATTATAGCCTCGCCCCGGGCCCCCGAATTCTCAGGACCGGCCCTGAGTGTGGTAAAAGATACTCCCTCTGTTCACTTTTGTAAGTCATTTCAGACAACTCAAAATGGGCTATTTTGTACATTGTCTGAAATGTCTGAAATGTCTTATAAAAGTGAACAGAGGGAGTAGTAGAATTGCCCTTTCTCTCTTTCTCATTTTTTTGTTGGGTTCTTTTGGCCTCCTTTTTTTATTTAGTCCGGAGTCTCATCCTGACTTGTGGGGGGTTCATTGTCTCCATCATTCTTTCCTCACTGGGACAATGCTCTAATAATGATGATCATCACACTTTTATTTACTTGATGCTGTGTTGTTTGTATCACTTGCTAGAGATAGAGAAGTTAGAACAGGAACTGCCCGAGAGGCTTCAAAGAATGATGTCTTCACCTTTGAGCCAGATCTTGTCTCATTCAACTCGATATTACAACTCAGACAAACCGAAACAATATGACTCTATATGAATGTCTTTAGCGGTGTATCAGGATGTGAAATGATCTAGCATAACATGTATAACAATGATGAACGGTGGCTTTTCCACAAATATCATGTCATCTCTATATGATCATGCAAAGCAATATGATGATGAAAACTCATGTCATAACATGGAACGGTGGAGGTTGCATGGCATTATTTCTTGGAATGACTATGGAAATGCCATGATAGGTAGGTATGATGACTGTTTTGAGGAAGATATAAGGAGGCTTATGTGTGATAGAGCGTATCATATCGCTAGGTATGGATGCACGGGCGAAGTTTGCATCAACTCTTGAGGTGAGAAAGGGCAACGCACGGTACTGAAGAGGCTAGAAAATCGTGAAAAGATAGAAGTGAATAATTATCCATGGACTCACATTAGTCATAAAGAACTCATATACTTATTGCGGAATTTTGTTAGTCCTCGAAGCAAAGTACTACTCGCATGCCCATAGGGAGGAGGTCGGTAGGATTTAACCATTGCGCATCCTCGGTTATGACAACATTCAAGGATTTCAATCAGACATTAAAATGCTCAAACATCCCCACCATGCCACATCGGACACTTAAATGAGTAGTCAATAACAAGCTTTAATATCAATATTCTTACTACCAATGATCATAGACTCATACCCTTTCATATTACGACATCAATATAATTAGAACATACGTTTCATATTTAGTGATCTACATGAAAGTTTTTATTATACCACTCTTAAATACCTATCCTTCTTGGATTAGCCTTATAACCCATGCACATTACCACCTCCTATTTAATAGACTCTCAAAAAGATTTAAGTGGAGCACGAGTGCAATAATTTCTATAAAATATAGCCACTAGCGTGCTCTAACAGATATATGTGAAGCACTAGAGCAACTGCATAGCTCAAAAGATATGAGTGAAGCTCATAGAGTACACTAACAAATCAAATGCATGTGTGTCTCTTTCAAAAAGGTGTCCAACAAACAATGATTGTGGCAAACTAAAAAGCAAATAAAATACATCTATGGATGAGATGCTCCAAGTAAAACTTATATAATGTGATGAATAAAAATGTAGCTCCAAGTAACATACCGATGAATTATAGACAAAAGAGGGGATG